CATCTTGCAACCTCGCAGCCGCCCACAGACTGTTTGACAGATGTTGAGGAATCATGTCCTTTACCTTGTCAGGGATACTGGATGCAATGGCAGGAACTGCCATACGCACCCCCGGCACTTCATCTTGCAACCTCGCAGCTGCCCACAGGCTGTTGGACAGCTCTTGAGGAGCCATTTCCTTTGCCTTGTCAGGGATACTGGACGCAACGGCTGGAACAGCCGTGAGCACCTCCGGCACTGCATCTTGCAACCTCGCAGCCGCCCAGAGACTGTTCGACAGATGTTGGGGAACCATGTCTTCTATTCTCCTTACGATACACTTCGCAATGTCCGGCGCAGCAACTGACACTTTTGGCACAGAACCTTCAAGCTTCGCAACACACAGCAAGCAGTTTGAGAGCTCTTGTGCTTTCATAGCAGACGCCTTTTGCTGCACGTATTTGCTCAGCTCCACCACAAGAGCTGCATTACAAGCATCCGCTTTGTCGTATAGTTCTCCATGTGCCCAGAACACGTTGGCAGCCTCGCGTACACCTACCTTGTTCACCCTGAGCATGGAGTGCAAACGTGCGACTAGCCTCGGCCAAACGGAGCTGCCACGATCTGCCCGGCCAAGCTGACGTCGCTTGCTGAACTTCGCCAGCCGGGTGAATGCGGCTGACATGTGGAAGTCATTGAAGACCTTGTTGTCCACTTCTTCACCCACCACTTCCAGGATCGAGGCGGCAGACTCGGCTTTAGAGATCCTTGACGTAAGCACTCTGGGATTTGGCCCACGGCTCCGAGGAGTTTGCTCTGCCCGCCTCTGCTCCCGCGCTCGCCTCGCGGTTTTCGAAGCTGGAGATGGACAAGCTGGACAGGCGGAGCGTGGTCCGTGCGGCTGCCTGGGACTGCTGTTCAAGTAGCTCAGGAACAGTAGCTGCCTGCTACCCCCCATGCACGTGTGCATGAGAAGCATCCCCCAGAACAACGCAAGCAAAACGGGCTGGAAGCCTGCCTGTGCAACCGGCCGTCTGCCAGCGGTCGACATGGCAGAGCTAAGGGATGAGCGAGAGACTCAGACACTGTCAGACCCTTCGGCTGCGGTGCAAGGTTAACTTGGGACATTACCATGACTGACGCACGAGCAATGTGAAAACAGACATGACCAACGCACTCAAACGCGGCATGTGCCTCTTAGGAGTTGGCTTGCCGTAGCTCGTCAAATTCATGCTTGCTGCACAGNNCCCCCCCCCCCCCCCCACAAAATAACTATACAGCGTCAGGGTTAAAGAGGCTGTTTCTTCCGCGATGGTTCGTGTCCGGGACACATTTTTTGTATCCGCGTATAGAATAACCAACGTACTCTTTGAATGGGCTTTGGGCTTGCTTCGGATCGCCAGTTTTGAATGTCTACAGTTGGTAGCTAGCCTTGACCCTCTATACCTTCGAAGCCCTTGTTGCCCGGTTGCCCTACACACTCTTAGTCAAGTAGAGAATTTCAAAACCGAAACAACTTGTTTTGCGAAGGTTTATGGAAATCTCCCTTAACTGGGTTGCTGCTAAGGAACATAGATTGAGTTACTATACTGGAAAAACCCTTCTTTTAACTATATATATATATATACACATATATTTACCCATAATATAGTAACTTATATTAAGTTCCTTAGCAGCAACCAGAGTACTCAAACCCTAAACCCTAAACCCTGTTACCTCTCCCTTTTGGGAGAGGCCGGGTGAACTTGGGACAAGTTACTCAGCTACATTGAACAACTTACTGGGGCAAGTAGAAGTAGGGCAAGTGTCATATAGGGGTTATATAGGACTATATCCCCTTATTCCCTGCTAACCCTAATCCCAAAACCCTAAACCCTACATTAGGACTATATTCCCTCATTCCCTGCTAACCCTAAGCCCAAAACCCTAAACCCTATATTAGGAACATATTCTCTTATTCCATACTTACTAAGAACCTCAGGCAGTCTTAGGCCCGCGCGGAGGAGATGATCAGCTTCAGATCTTGCCGGAACCGCGCAACCTGAGGGTGCTTTCCAAATTTATCTTTGGAGGGGACTTGGGGTGTAGGGTTGGGGGGTTAGGGTTTAGAGCTTAGGTAGGGGGTTTAGGGTTGTGGGTTTACGGATTAGCAGCTTCAATCGTCATTGGGCTCAAGTAGGATGAAGGCATTTGGCAAAGGGGAATGGCCCTGAATGGTCAATGAGTAAGATGTCTTTCTACCATATATGCATGTACATGCTCTGAGAGTATTCATTTTGAAGCGGTGGCTGGGGTCAATTTCAGGGCGAGGGGATTATGAGGGCTTGCTACAAGGGTCCCCTAACCCCTTAACCCTAAACCCTAAACCCTGAAACCCTAAACCCTAAACCCTAAACCCTGAAACCTTAAACCCTAAAACCCTAAACTCTTAAACTAAAACCCCCAAAGCTCATACCACCTTCGCAGACCTCCGATGTTCTCTATAGAGTAGCCCTGGAGGTTGGTGCCTGGTACTTCAGGGGGCCTCCTTTGACAGGGTTTAGGGTTTTAGGGTTCCAGGGTTTTACAGGTCAGTGTTTAGGGATCTAGGGTTTTAGGTTTTAGGGTTTGGAGGCGTAAGAGGTTCAAAACTATTTCTTGTGGATTATGCAGGGACAATGTTCCCCATATTCCTATCCTAATTCGGTCCTAAGTATTCAAATGCCGACATGAGATGAAAGGAACCCACAACCTGATACACTCTAAACAAAACGGACGCTGCTACACTTCCGCTTGAAGAAGTTGTCTGTACAACACGGCATTTACGCATGTGCATCTCGACCATGTCAGAAATGAGAAACAGCAAATACCTGGCGTTCAGAAAACAGAAACCATGCATCGCATAGCTTTTTTTCAAGTCGAGGAAGGCACTTGCCCTAAATTGGGTACCCCAATATAGACCCCAAATCAATAGCATCCTTGTTATGGGGACCCCGCCAAAAACGGTACCCCTAATTTTGGGAAACCCCTATGAGGGACCCCAACAACAGCCATCAGCAGGCCATGATTCCCCTAAACCCTAAACCCTAAACCCTGAGCCCCGACAGTGCCCAGTAGGCAAACTCGCATCATGCTGCGCATTACATCAGGGAGTTTCCCTTTGTACCCTTAGGGCTTGCACCTTTGGGTTTCGGTCCCTAAACCAGGGAATATGGACCTAAGGCAGGGTATTTGGGACCCAAAACATAAGGCTGACATTAAGGGTACAAACTTAAAGTCTTTGATTATAACACTTGGCCAACAAAACCGGTTCGACATCCGGGGCTTGCCTGCACTCCATGACCGAAGCGCTTGCGTCGTTTAGGGGCATAAGTAGCTAGAATGTGGGCCTTAGGGGTTACAATATACTATACTCAAGCACGGATTAGAAGTGGATGGTATTGAGAACCATTCAGAATTTGAATATGGGCTTTAGGGGTTACAATATACTATACTTAAGCACGGACTATAAGGGGATGGTAATTGTTGAGAACCATTCAGGCTCTCATTTCAGGACGTCCTCCAAGATCCCTTATCACACCAGCTTTTGAGTCACCCGCAGTTAAACACAGCCCAAAGTCAAGCAAGACAGCTAAACTAAACCCTAACCCTAAACCCTACCCACCTCTAAACCCTTTGGACTGGAATGTCCTGAAACCTGGGACCCTAAACCCTAAACTTGGGCACATACGACCAGCCTATGCCGGATGCACTTGCGGGGTGTCCTAAATTACTACCGGGAGTCTCCCGACAATCTCCCTTTCCCCCCTGCATGCGCCATGTGTGATGCCTCGAATGCCTTCCCCTCATTCCCAAACCCCCCAGACTAATGAATTTTCTCCGCAGTATATATAGATATATATACCCCCTTGCGTAGATAGAATATGGTGTATATGGGGATCTTGTTATAATATAACCAAGGCAATATTCTATATACTTAAGGGGGACTGTAATGGTACTGTCTTCGTGGGGAGATTATTAGAGTGGGTGGGGAGTTTAGTATTTTGGGGAGGTGATTACTACAATCCTCCCGTCATGCCTTAGCAACCCCCTACTTTGAGGATCAAGAGGACTTAGCATGTCGCTTAATATGGGGATGCGGTGGTTTGTATAATAGACCTTTTAGGATTTAGGATCTAAACTCCGAGCATCCCCCTTAACAAGCCCTATACTAGTCCCCCATATAATCCCCTATGTAACCCCCTTTAAGGAGCTTAGACCATAGCTCATACATGTGATACGGGCCCTGAGGTTGTAATTTTATGTATACTTACAAGTGTCCCTGACCCTCCAAGCAGTTTAACTATACCGCTGTAGGGACACCTCCTCTGAGGGCGCTGACATCCTTTACCAAGCCGAAGAGCACGTCTGTGTGGAGCGTTCGTTCCTTGAACTACTGCAATGCTCTTGGGCCCCAAATATCCCGGAGTAACTGATACTTCCTCTAGGTTGAGCTACTGTAATCCTCTTGGGCACCAAATATCCCGGATTAATTAATACTTTTTGTAATGAGGTTGAGCTACAGTAATCCTCTAGGGCCTCAAATAGCCCCAAGTAGGTACAATTTTTTAACTGAGGGACAAGTGACCAAATTAGTGTGTCATGTATGGGCTTAGGGCCTCAAGGATTTCTTTCGAATGGCAGAGAGTAGGCTGACCAGTCACGGAAACTATACTTCGGAGTCCATTTACATTGAATCTTAATAAGCGGAGGCGCTTGAAGAGATAGCTCCATGAGGTCATAATCCTGAGAATCTACACTTGCCGCCCCACAGTCGTCAACGTCAGAAGATATCCAGGCAGGAGGGTTTGGAGACGACATCGGGGAACAAGAATGGAAGGGGCTGTCTTTGGGTGGGCCTTCGGCAGTCTAGTCATGGAATGCATGCGAGCATTGCCCTTCCACATCCCAGCAGACAGCAGCACCAATATCAAGAAGACTGAATCTAGGGCGACAGCAGCTGCTGGGTATCTCATAGAGGCCTTATACGCCCCGTACATATAGATGTATATAGCCCCATCCCACCCCCCAAGAGTCCCTATAGACCCGATATATTCCCATTACAGTCTGCCAGATTCTCTTCCCCACCTCTGAGGAGTCCCTGGACTGTAAAACCCAACCCTCCAGCACTTAGGGTTTAGGGTTTAGGGTTTGCTGTCAGGGGAGGCAAAGGCAAAGCAAGATGTCAGAAAGGCCCTTGAGGCCATGGCTATATGGGAGATTGCAGAAACATTACTGGCTTCATGAGGATCTACATGTTGGCAATTACATCTAGATTTTTTTTCAAGATTCGGGTCCTGTCTGAATCCTCCAAAGATATTGGGATATTTTCTCCAAGGACCTGCAGAAAACACACAATGTGATAGTGTTTACATGACATAACAACAAAGGTACCACAACAAAGGTACTGGAAAGCGTCGCTCTAAGTGGGGGTATTCGAAGCTTCCCCCCATGAAATCCTTCACTACCACGTTGAACCCTAGACCCTAAACTCTGATCTGTAAACCCTACTTCCTGATACCTGATCCATAAACCCGAATTCCTACAGCCCAAACCCTGAACCCTAACCCCTAGACCCTAAACCCCGCCAGCAACCACAAGAGCCCAATGACCTGGGATTCCCTGCGTGCGCTTCATCCACCATCATCACCTGAATGAAGCTGCTTGTTGTAACACGGGCCTTAGGGTTTTGGGGTTTAGGTTTTAAGTTTAGGCTTTAAGATTCAGGGTTTAGGGTTTAGGGTTTTGGGGTTTAGGGCTTAGGATTCAGGGGCCTAAATCATGGTATCATGGCTCTCCCTACTTAGTAACTCTATCTGCGGTAGAATTTCAATGAATGATTTATCTAAAGCATCCACGAATCTTCTTTAAGTCCTTGCATCGAAGA